AAGGGTTTATGATTTTTCTAAACCCTTAAAAGGGTTGTTGAAAGTGCGACGTATAATAAACCCTTAAAGGGTTTATGAACTTCCTAAACCCTTTCCTAAGCCCTTTGAAAGGGTATATGAAAGGGTTTATGGATTTCCTAAACCCTTTATTAAACCCTTAAAAAGGGTTTAGGAAAATTTTACATACGGTAAAAAGGGTTTATTATACATTGCACTTTCATCAACCCTTTTTGGGTTTATTATTCTACGAATTTTTTTTACAGTGTAGTTTTCTCTCGTTGATGATTGTTCTTTGATGACTGTGTTGTAGACATTCTTTTTCTTCCTAGATTGCGAAAGAACACTTTATATGACAAATAAAAAAAAATCCATTGAGTATACCTTACGTAAGTGTTCCCATGTGTCAGAATATCATTAAAACTTATGAAATTCTCGTTTTATCTTTCGCAATACTTCCACTATTTAAACCTTTCGTAGTTGATGGATTGTTATTGCACAGTCAAATTATACGATATGCGATACTCCGCAGCTTATTTACTTGCTATCTTAGGTGGTAATCCATCACCAGATGTTGCTGCAATTGCCAAGATTATGGGTAGTGTTGGAATCGAATGTGACGAACAACGTGCTCAAAAAGTAATCGATGCCTGCAAAGGTAGAGATGTTAACGAAGTTATTGCTGAGGGCTTGAAAAAAATAGATGGTATTGGATTGACAAGTCCACCTATGGTAACTCCTACACCTACACACAACCAAACAGGTGTTCATACAGAACCATCGGTCAACAACGATGTTGTAAATTCAGGCACTAGCACACCTTCAACTCCTGGTAGCGATCCAGGTATGGTAAGTCCTTGGTTTTACATCATAATTTTTATTTTAATTGATACATTTTTGTTTATTTTTAACAGTTTGACTTATTTGAATAATGGAAAATATCAAATATTGACCATAATCAAAGTGAGCGGCAATTTTAAATCAAGTTTCAATGATCTTTTTTTAATTGTTGTTGTGAAAAAAATAATAAAATTTGGGGTCATTCATTCAAATATGAAATATTGCGTTAATCATACTCGATCAAATATATTAGCTGTTGAACTGTCATAGGTATTAACAAGTGATCGAAAAATAACTGAATTAAAATGTTCATTCATTTTTTAGCTTCTGAAAGAAATCTGTAGAAATTGGAAAATATTGGATTAGAATTAGAATTTCATATTCTTTTCGAATATAAATTGCCAATTTTTGTATTAAATTTGAGCCAACATTTTTAGAGACCTGTAAATTAACCTAGCACGAACTTCAGCGCAGAAAAACTAGCTAGAATAGAAGCAAAAATTATTTCAAAAATAATAAAACGTGTGTCTCTACAAAGTAATACATTAAACATGAGTTTATTGCAAGTCATTTATCAACAGTGAAGCGTTTGATAAGGAACATCGTGTTGATTTTTTTGTATTGCTATAGAAAAAAGTTTTACAGTTGACTGAGCTGCCCAGTTCCAGATAGACATTCTGAAAGCAAGATTAAGATGGATATTCTTTTTATTGGCGTATAATACGATTATTTTATAGAGAGAATTGTTCTGTTTTAATCTACACAAAGCTGATATCTCTAATATAGTCTGTTCAACAGACATATAGATCTTCTAGAGACCCTCAATTTTGTTAAGTTGACTTCTGATTACTCGAAATTATCTCTAAAGAAAGGTAACTGACCATGTTAAGTCAAGATGTGATGTTTATTTTCTATTTAAAGGAGATTTGTGATCAATAAAGTAGGCTTTTTTTTTTAATGTCATATTTTTCCACTATATAACCTAAACAGCTGATATTTTGAAACTCTTCCTATAGATATCTCAGACTGCTTTTAAACTGAAAATAAACGTCACTTCTAGACTTAAAAATGGCTAGTCACTCTTCTGTAAAGGTATTTCCGAGTGATCAGAAGCCAACTTACCAAGACCGAGGATCCCTGGAAAACCCTTATATATTCTGAGTGCAACAAGCTAAAGATGTCAGCTTTGTATGGACCGAAAAAGAACAATTTTGAATGTTGACGTGCGTGAATGTCCTTTTCAGCGATACTCACACTTTCAGAACTGCACCCGCCTGCCGGAGAGTTTCCGAACTTCCACAGGGACCTGCAAATGTTTCGACAGATGCAGGAGGTGGCCCTGGGCTGTCGGTAGCCGAGCGTCTGATTTTTAGGCTAGCAACCTGTCAATTAGACATTAAATATTAATTGCTAACGAAAAGATATTAAACAAGTGTGTGAACGCACAAAAATCGGTGTTTTTTGGTGGATGGAATGTCCTATCATGCTTTCACTATTCAAGACAAAAATTGATCATTATACAAGTACAAAAATACAATATTCAAATAGTAGCATTATGTGAAACAGCAATTTATGATTCAGGAACGAAATCAATTGCAGACTATACATTATTATATAGGGTGTCCGGAAAGTCCTTAGAGTTAGGAAAATTTTCATATCTCCTTTACGGCTCAACCAAACGAGCTCATTTTTTTAACAAAGATTGAGGCACGTTCACACTCAAAATCCATATGGACAAGAGTATTGAGAATCTTTGTTAAGTATCACTATTGACCTTAACAAGAAAATTTTACTGTTCCACAGAGAGGAAGAAAAACCATATACTTAACAAAGGTTCTCACTAACTTTGTCAGTATGGATTTGGAGTGTGGATATGCCTCTATCCTGGGTAAAAATATCAGTTGGTTCGCTCAAGCCATAATGAAGAGAGTCAATTATCTTTTCAATAAAGTGTCTTTTGCCCTATCCTGTGTAATGTTTGTTTTCCTAACTGTGAAACAGTAAAATTTTCTTGTTGAGGTCAATAGTGATACTTAACAAAGATTCTCAATACCCTTGTCCATATGAATTTGGAGTGTGAACATGCCTCAATCTTTGTTAGAAGAATGAGCTCGTTTAGTCCAACCATAATGGAGATATCCAAATTTTTGTAACTCTAAGGACTTTCCGGACACCCTATATTCTGGTCTTCCAAGTGTCAATAAAACACGATCAGCTCAATGAGTGGCGATTTTACTGGATAAAAGTGCTACAAACCACTGGAAACAGTCAGGTTTAGAATGGCAAGCGCACTAATGAGAGAATTATCAAAGTTAGATTGAAATGTACACCAATGGATATCACCATTATCGCAGTGTGTGCACCAGTTAATCCATCAAACAAAACAGTGGCCGATAACAGTGAAAAATTTTATATTGATTCACAAGAGGCAATGGACGGAATATCGAAAAAAGATATGATTGTATTAATGGATGATTTTAACGCACGTGTTAGTCAACTTCAGCGTCCTACGGTATTCCGCACTGTTGTATCATTTACGATGGACGTGCAAAATGAAAACGGTGAGAGGTAAGTTGATTTCTGTACCGCAAACAATCTGGTCATATCGAACTCATTCTTCCAACACAAGTCAGTGCATCAAACGTCATGGATGCACCCTAGAACGAAAAAATGGCATTTGATAGATTATATATTGGTGAACAGAAAGTTTAGATCAAGTATAGAAGATGCACGGTTTTATAGAAAAGCAAGTGAAAGTATCGGTACAGATCATCATCTTATGAGATCTAAAATTAAATTACATTTGAGATCAAGAAAGAACAATGAACAGCGCAATCGGTTTCGACTGGATCGTGCAAAATTAAATAATGACCATATTGTGGAGAATTTTCGAAAAGACATGTCAAAAAAGCTTGAGAAAAGAAAAGATGATGATAATTGCTTGACTTAATGGGCAAGCATTTGAAAACATAAATAATAGATTTCAACGCAGCTAAGATCATCTTCTTCTTTTATTTTATTATATGCAATTAATCAGACAAAAAAAAAGTTATAATATACCAAAAAAAAAATATCAACACTAATAATGACTCGAACTTTCGACGATTTTAGTCGGCATTATCTAGAGAACATGTAAAACAGAATAAGATAGATACAAGGAGAAGAGAGAATGTATGATCTTATATATATACATATTATTTGCACTTAATGTCCTATGAGTCATGCAATCTAG